TCATAAAAGCAGATGTTAAAGAGCATACTCTGTATATAGGACCCTGTTGTATGTGTTCACAGTTAATGGCGTCATGCTTGCTATTAAGTATGATAAAGTTCAATTATCTCAATGCAACATGCACTTTTCCATACATTAAGTGTGCTAGCATTATAAAAGTTTTTAAATAAAAAGGTTGAATTTTTTTATTGCTAAAATTTCACTGTTCGTAGCAGATTTTAGACATGGTAATCAGAAATGCTAAGCAGCAGCTTTGTATCATCTGACAGTGCTAAATTTAACCTAATGCATTTGTAGTGCAAAAATAGTATTATCATTTTCCCCCTTTTTGTCATTAAGCCAAAAAGTAATAACTGAACTTATGGTTTGGCTAGAATCATAAAGCAGCTGGGCAATAAGAAATGTTATCCTAAAGTGAGCTAAGAGTCTACAACCCAGTCCCAGTTACCCAGCAGGAGATGAGGTGAAGAGCATATATTTCTACATCTTTATCACGAACAAAGCTCTTCTCACATCTCACCCTGAGAGTCAGAGATATCTAGTAATCAACCCAACCAATCAGCATGTCTGTGCTATTCCATGTTAGTGATGGTGGTGAGAGTCTTCTGTTATATCTGAAACTCAGGGTGTTGTGATGTAATGATGTAATAAGCCACGTGATGTAGGTCAGAGGTCATGAGTGTGAAGCGGGAAGTCGGGATGCGACGTGGCATGTGAGACATGGACTTTTAATTCTGTAATAAACATTTTAATCTTTTATATAAATTGTTGTTACAATACCATATCTGTCGACAAGGATGGAACAATCTCACAAGGGAGGAAAGTAACAAGTAAGAATATATATAAACATTGACTATAGCGAAATTGAATGAGCGCAGTGTAACTCGTTGAACAGTCACAATGGCGAGCCCATCTATACAGATACCTACTTATCATGAATTTGACTGTAAGTCAGAAGGCGTTGCCATTAGATGGAGAAAATGGATAAACAGATTGAAAAACAACGTATTTGTTGGTTATGGTATAACAAGTCCGAAAAAGAAGAAGGCACTCATGCTATCTTTCGCCGGCGACGAGTTAAATGACATCGTCGAATCTTTCAGCACATTTCAACTAACCCCCGGAGAAGGAGAAGATGAGTTTACGAAATGTGTTGATGCTATCACTGACTATTTTTCACCTTCAATCAATGTTGAATTGAATAAATTTTCATTTCGACACGCTACGCAGAAAGGAGAGGACATTGACGAATTTTATAGAGAGCTTCAAGATATTGGTAAACTGTGCAGTTTTCATGACTTGGAATCAGAGATAAAATCACAATTGATTATGGGATGTAAATCTCAGAAAGTCCGACAGAAGGGCTTAAGTAACCCGTCCATGACATTATCACAACTTTTGCAGTATGCGCGTACAGAACAACTTGTCACTTCACATACACAGCGCATGGATGAACCCGCGGTTAACAGGGTGCAAGTCAGGAGTTCGACAGGTAGTCAAGCATTTTCACAATGCCGTAATTGTGGAGGAGAATGGCCACATGTGGGTGGACGGTCGAAGTGTCCGGCCTTCAACAAGGAATGTTTCTCTTGTAAATGGCTTCATCATTTCGCATCGATGTGCAGATCGGGTCAGCAACCATCATCTTCAGCTACATCTAACAAGCGCTACGCCGTAAAACCTAAACGCGTGCCTCATCGCCGTCAGAACAATGTTAATTGTCTACGTGCAAATTCTGATGTGACTGAAAATGAGAACGAATGCACAGGATCTGATGAGGATGGATATGTCTTCGCAGCGCATGCAGTGACCGAGAACATGGACCAACTCCCACATTTTGAAATAGAGATGAACGGTAGGAAAATAATTTTTCTAGCTGATTCAGGCTCTACTGTAAATTTGATTTCTGAATTTGAGTACAATAAATTACAACCAAGACCAACGTTACATATTTCAAGTACTAAAATCAAGGCCTATGGCAGTGAAAACAATTCAGTTCATGTGTTGGGAAAATTCACGTCTCACTTACAGGTTGGAGCAATTAGCTGTGACGCAANACACATCCAATGATCTTATGGAGGGCACAGTGAGGTCAGTGGGCCATGTTCTCTCCTCCTTTGATTCGGAGGTCCCCCCTTTCTTCCCTCCTCCTCTCATCCCCAACCCCCCCCCCCCCAATAAAAAATCGAGCAAAACGATACAAAAAAAAACAAAACAAACAAACAAACAATATTTTTTATCGTACATATAACAGTAAAATTGTCCTTGATCCCTGCTTTATATTTACTGTGAGAAAAAAATGCTGCCCCCCCCCCCCCCCAACCCCCCAATTCCCCATTGGTAGCATCCTGGACCAGTCAGTGCCGGTGTCAAGTTATTTATCTCACCAAAATTCGTATGACTGACATCACTTCTACCTTCACTTCTACATCCATCTACCCCCTCCAAGCCCCCCCCCCCCCCGATACACACACCCTAGCATATGCAGGGAAGGACACGGTGGTACAATTTTGAGGAACTCAATCAATCAATCTATCTATCTATCTATTTATCTATCTATCTATCTATCTATCTATAACGAGACAAACTCAAGCCATTCTCCATTTCGTTTCCCTACACGTCTCCTGTGAGGGCAATGAGGTGTGTAGTGTTTTTTTCTTTAATCATTCTGGCAAACAGGAACTCTGTGGTGTCGTTTTTCAAAAAGAAAAAAAAAAAAAAAAAAGATCTGGCGAACAGATACTAGTGTCTTTTTTCGAAGACTTTTCCAAAAAAAGATTCTGGCAACCAGAAACTAATGTTTTTCAAAAAAACGATCATGGAAACCAGAAACTAGACTCGTTTTTCAAAAGCATTCCTGACAAAAGAGAAACTAGTGTCGTTAAAAAAAAAAAAAGAAAGAAAAAAAGAAAATTCTGGCAACCAGGAACTAGTGTCTTTTCAAAAACGCTGAATTTAATCTCTGTCGTTTTTCAAACTCTGACAGCCAGAACCCAGTGTCGTTCACCTCAAATCATGTCTGGTTACCAGGAACTACTGTTCTATAAATAAAAGGTTTTAAATTAGGCTCTGCGGTTGAATAAACAAGACCGGGCGAGGGTGGATGGAACGCAGAAGGGTTTCATTTTCACGATGGTCCAGTACAACTTCCCTTTCATTATATATTCGAGTTAATGGAATAGTTCCACATTTGTTTAATTTGGGCGCAAAATCTAAATTTCATTTCTACAAAAAAAAAAAAAAAACGTATTGCCACTAGTTCCTACAAACAATGATCACATAAATTAAAGATCGAAAAAAGGGACAGTAGACCTAGGCAAAAGAAAAAGAAAGTAGAAGATGGTTGTCATTTTTCTTGACTCACTACACATGACCAGGAGAAATTTGGAAACAAGAAAATATATTATTATTATTATTAGTAGTAGTAGTAGTAGTAGTAGTATTTTAGCCTAATGTATTTGAACGCCGACCCCCCCCCCCCCCCCCCGACACACACACATCATAAACGATTGTCAGACAACAAGACTCTACATAAGCAGTAAGTTCAGTGCCCTGTGAGGATTCATAATTATTATTACTTTATTATTTGCTGAGCCAAGCGAAGAAGAAAGAACATTTTAGCAATGCCCACCCCACCGCCGCCCCTCTTCCCCTAGGAAAATTCTGTGTCCGTCAGTGTGTTGGATACAGCGGGTCTGAGACTGTTTCTTCTCTAGCACATTTCGGTTTCTTAGTTGCTCAACCTCTGAACCTGATTTGATTGCGCCAGAGATCGTCAGGTATACTGGTATACTCATATATATTAACCGATTACAGTGACGTCATATTTGCTCCGTAACACTAGTCCCGCGGCCATGCTGGAGGGAATGAACGACGGGGAATAGTAGCGTAAATATAGGTAAACCAAATAAAATAAAGTAAACTTCATATCACGATCAAGGACACCAAAGGGAAAAGGATATATACAAGCTGAGGCTTCAGCTGATCAGCGGGATCGACCGATATGAACTCAAGACAGTCTAAAAACGTGAAATCCTACTAAATGCTACTTACCCAACATCGTGTTGTCAGAAGATAGTTCAGTTATCTTGTACTTCATTTTTCTTGTTCATTGGGTAATAACAGTTATAGTTTGAGAGAGTTTAATGTGTAATCATAAGTTTAACCATAAATAGAAGCAACTGTTTTCATAAAGGATAGATATAAAA